AGTATATATATATATATATAATTCATGATTTTTCAGTAATAGTGAAACTTTTTAAAAATTTTACTTGATATACTATATATACCTTACCTCGCTTTCGAATTGAACAAGTGGATGTGAACGTCTGCTACCAAGAGGTGGCAGGTGTATTTCATGGTTGTTAGACGTTGTGATCTCATTTGGGGATCTCCATTTCGAAACTGGATCTGGCACTAGTCCTTTTGTTGGCATTCTTTTGTAATCGTTTGTAATTCCAGCCTAAGTAAAAATAAAATAACTTAAAGTAACTATTTCTTATGGAAGGGAAATAGGGTAAATAATCCATGTTATTTTAATATGTAAACTAATAACTTTTGAAATATAATTCTATTATTACTGAAGTTTTTGAAATATAATTTATTACAAAATATGTATAAATAATGAAAAAATACTAACCCGTCGTACCACCAGGTGGCATACATCTGAAGTTGAATCATGCAGGAGACTCAACACTTCTTCTAACTCCACATCACACAGCTGTTGTCCATTGATCATAAGCAATTCATCACCTGACTGCAGATGGCTGGATCTACAGGTTTGATTCAACAAGAATTGATGTATGGTAAACTCTAAATTAATTAACAGAACAAAGTATTGTCGTCTTTTCCAATACTAATATTCTCGAAAATGTTTGAATATCAATGAAGGTATATCCAAGAAATCACAGAGAGAGATTAGAAATTATCATCATATTTTTACACAACTACATGTAGAAATCAAAGTCAGTAAAATAACTGAACACCTAGCGAACTTATTCCAAATTATAAAAACGTATCTTTATTAAACAAAGTATATTATTAGTATTGTGTAAAGTTTCGATAACATATGTTAGACTACTTTCTCTCTGAATATCTAAAACAACAAAACAGAAACTTGAAAAACAGTCCTTGATTGTGTGCCAAAACCAGAACTGGTATTTCATTTACAAATTTCCTTGTTCAGTTATATTTGTAGAAATAATAAAAATCAACTACGAACAGATAAATCATTTCTAGTTTAGGATGAGATAAATAGCGCAAGTTTTCGATTTTTTCCGTGTTTTATTAGCGAAGTCATCTCGGGGTAAAACTAAATGCTTCCATTCATAAATATCAATCAATTTCAGTATGAAGCAAACAGAGCAATGCAAATGTAATAACTTTAAACCAGGTACTGGCTACACAAAAAGTACAAGGTGAAACAAAAGTTATTCACACACAAAAAAATTCTACAACCTGAAATGTACGTGCAACACTTGGCTAGATAAATAATAGCTACAGTAGTTATCCACTTTTGACTTTTTATTAAATGAAACGTAATATGTATATATGAGTGGTCCATTCTTTCAATATCAGATAAAACAATACTTACTGCTTTAGTTAATAAATAATTCAATATGTATAAATATGACGTTCATGTACTGTTGAAACTATCACATTCCTTCTCCCTCACAAATAAGGCCTAATCTTAAGATCGTGAGGCGAATACTAATTGGATATACATTTTTTTACTTGTGTCTATCCCTCTCGGTTCTTCTCATACGCCAAGCAAGCGATCTATCTACCATTCCAGCAAGGGTTTAACTGCTAATAGAAAGACACTTTATAACCGATGATTGTCGTCTTTAGATATAACCTTATATAAACTACTTCATTTTTATGAGTGAGTTTTCGAATATAAAAATATCAGTTACGGTTTGGATAAAAAACTTAAACTATTAGAAATTACAAACAAATTTTACTGTAAGCATTGCTTAGAGAAAATGAGCCAGCATGAATAGAAATTTTGTTAGAGAAAGAGACAAGACGGTCTAAGTGAATAAAACATGAACACAATAAAACTAAAATTTTCCATTTAGTAACGAAGTCAGAAATCATGAAATTACTTGCACTTTACGTGAAATAGCATTCGTTTTGGAGAGCTGTCGGGCGTAATTCACATTTCATTGTTTAAGACTGGCAAAGCATGATCTCCTGTTTGCAGTTCAGGAGTTTTTAATGACTAAAATTGTCATAAATTTCACCTTTGCATAGCTAGAATACAAAATATACTTTATGCAGGAATATCAATGTAATATTTTTTAAATTTCTTTACATACAGTTATAACATTCTCATAAACTAAATGTCTAAAGGTCGTAAACGTGTGATAATCCTTTTAACACATGTAAAGGCTACATACTGCAATCTTCATCCTTGAGATTTAAACTAGCGTGTACGCGTTTCTATATGAACTTCTTGGAAGGTAGCCTATTCAATCAGGCAATAGCAAAAACCTATACAACTTTCTTACCGTAAGTTTGGGTGTAGACCATTGGTTGAAGTTTGTAACCTGTGGAATTGTTGGATATCTTACTAAGGCTTTGTTTAACCAGGATATATACAAGTGGAGTACTTCCAGAGGTCTGTTTTTACTCTTGATTTTCATCTCTTGTTTTGTGACTTCAACCACAGCACCTTGACGATAGTCGTACAGAAGGTCAGCCTGCTTTGATAACATAACACTATGGCGTTAATAAATAATGTTATGTTTCAAAGCACACTTGTGTTTAGTTGTTTCCCCTTTATTATCGGCTTTTCTCACTCAAATCAGTAAACCTAATAGCCATAGGCTAGATAAAAGTAACATGTTGCTGCTGAAAACCGAAAGATTTGTTATTGCAGAGTTTGTTTGGAATGTGCTTATTTTTCTGTTGACTCTCGTACAGCAAAGTTTGTAATTTGTGCTATTATCCAAGTTAGCTTCCTGAGACTATATCAATGTATGCTGGAGACGAGGAACTTGTAGTGGTAGTGAGGACTTGGTCCAATAATATGGCAAGATCTAGAGGAAGCAGAGCATTCACCAGCCATGGTGAAAATAATGTCAGCATTCTTGTTCTGTCCTCTGGGCCAAAAGGTTGAGGGTAGATCATTAAGCAGTCACAGTAATCCCTAATGCAATTTCAAATGTTTACATCCCCTATGCAGGAGCACAGGGGCTAGAGAAGAGCCATGGTGGCAATCAATAACCTGAATTTCACGAGATTGACTGAAGTGATCTCTATGGAATATGGGACTCCAAGGTGCTTGCGGACAAGCTTCGGCCTTGTAAAGCATTATGTGAAGTCATCAAGAGCCGAGGAGAGTGATGAGATGCGTGAAGTGGACAAAGTTTAGCGCATTTCATCACAATATTTTCAGGCTGAGCAAATGTCATCCTGTTATAATCCAACCATAATTGGAGTTAGTCAGAAATCTTCAAGGCTAACAACATTATACTGATCACACACCAAAACTTTGTCTGATGGGCAAGACCACTAAAGAATGTGATGATATAATGTGGTATTACACATCAAGTCATTACAATGGTAATGATGGAACATCCTACCACATATTGAGTCATCCCATTGAGGACTTAGATTGAGTGCAGAATTGCATAGTGTTTTGTTGTTATGAGCTACCAAGACATGGTGACCAACTGCGATGTAATTAATCTACACAGCTCTTAAGTATTCATGATGTTAGAAAAGCATGAAGGTTCAAGAATTTTTGACAGAAATGAATTAAAAAACCTTATAACCCGAGTGCTTTTGAAAGATCCACCTTTCGAAAGAACTCGGGTTATAGGGCTTCCATTCATTGCTATCAAGAGCTCTAAGGTAGGAAATTCTTTGCATTTTACATAATGCAAGGACAGAAGGGAGTCAGGTATTGTAATGATCTATTACAAATATGCAAGAGCATTTTTTTCTGATCATATTCACGTACAGACTTTCAACAGTGGTTTAGACACTGTATACAGTTCTCTGTCCAGAATAACAAAATGACCATGACAAGGAAAACTAAGATGGAGAATGGTAGGTTCCCCTCTGGAGAGAATCACTTTAGACATAGTTGGTCCTCTGCCCAACATTGAAAAATGTACTTGTTTTGTGCTTGTCATTATTAATTATTTCACCAAGTAGACTGAAGCTAATCCATTGGAGACACATTAGTACAATCCACCACAGATGTATTGGCTGAACAATAGATATCATGTTTTAGCACACCTGGAGAAATCCAGATAAATCAAGAAACTAACTTTAATAGCAAGTGGTTTGAAGAGTTTTGTCAAGTGTTGGGAGTGATGAAGGAGTACACTTCACCATGCCACTATCCTCAGTTTGATGTTTTGTCAGAACAGGCAGTAAAAGCCGCCAAGATACTTGCTACGTTTGATAACTCTGACCAAGCTGATTGGGATGAACCCCTACCATATCTTATGAAAGCATATCACAACACTAAACAACAGTAAGTTGGTTGTTCTCCAAATTTCCTGATGTTTGGACGAGAAGTACATCTCCAAGTATATATGATGTACGACTCTCTGCCCAATGCAAAAGTATTGCGCTGTCCACAGGAATATATTAATTGGCTGCATGTGAGTAAAGAAGTCTTATGTCAAAAGAGACATTACAACAAAGTGGTAGTGTCACAAAAGTTCGAGCCATTTGAGAGTATGGTTGTGGTACATGTCTGCAGTGCAAGAACAACTCGCTTCTGGCTTGACTGGCTCACAACTTATCTGTTTAGAGCTCAATGAAGTGGCATACGAGTTACAGCAATCACACGGCACGTTTATATGCATCAAACATGTAAACAAGCGTCTATGTCATTGATGAGCTACTAGGAAAATAGTTAATCTAGAAATCAAAGGTGGATAAACAATTTTCTAATAATTTAATAAGAGTATTTTGTCATATGATCTCATCTCAGTTGACAAGGAGGAAGGCACTAGTAAGAAATATACGTTTGTTTCTGAGGAAGCACCAGAAGAGAAACAGTGCATCCGCTCTGTTGATCAGCTGAGATGCAGATGTCGTGATCATTACGGCTGGGATTAACTGTTTGACCAGCAGCTAAGACAGACGGTTGAATAATCAATGAATGAATGGAAGCAGCAATCCTTAATTTCTGAGCTATCAAGTGATGTTTCACAATAGGATATCTATGCTGTATATTATGTTATAGCCACTTCATTATTGTACAATTAGAGCAGTTATAACTTAAATTTTGAACTACTGAGTGATATTTGGTAGAGAGATGTTAATATGAAGTTTTGTGATAATCACTCAATTTATCTAATTTTAGCTTATTTTCTTTTTTACTTTTATCGTGTTTTACTTATTTGTGACTTTTTAATGGTTGCTTGGCGCACAATAGCCTTGTTGCTTTGAGCCAAAACTTCAAGCAACAAACCAAACAATTTACTTAGTTAAGCTGTAGCGGAATTTCTGTGGAGCTGATAGCGTAAGACCTGCTACACACAAGGCTAAGACAGCCGCGATTGTTGGATGAAAAATCTTGGATTCAACTGTAAATGAAGAACAGAAATTCTGACAGTTAAGCTGAAAAGGACTTTGTGATCCTTAAGTTTCAAGAACTTAAGTTTTGTAATGAATGTTGGTGACAATTTGCCTATAGAAACTTTATGTTGAACTAACAAACTTGCATTTATTTCATAAGCCTTGTTTTGTGCAATTCTATGAGATCGTGCCTGATGGTCTGGTTGATATATTCTAGTTTTCTTGA